AAGGCCAGCCTGGGCTACAGAGTGAGTTCCAAGACAGGCACCAAAACTACACAAAGAAACCCTGTCTTGGGGGGGAAAAAAAAGAGCTGAGTGGCCAGTAGCTAGTCAGGAAGAGGTTAGGTGGGACTTCCAGGCAGAGAGAAGAGAGGAGGAGATGAATCTAGCATGGGAGAGATGCCGGAGGAGACGGTGTGGAAGCAGGACATAGGGGAAGAGAGGTAAAAGCCATGAGCCATGTGACAACATGTACATTAATAGAAACGGATTCATTTAAGTTATAAGAGCTAGTTAGAAACAAGCCTAAGCTATAGGCTGAACTTTCATAATTAATAAGATGTCTCTGTGTCATGATTTGGGGGCTGATGATCCAAGAAAGCCTGCTACAACTTTCTGTAACACATAAGAGCCAAGCCTCTCCCTGAAACCACAGTACGTCCTGTGACCCCTGGCACTCTCATCTAGCCACAGGATGAAGGGGACCTCACACACAGATTCCCCTGGCTTCTCCCTAGTGCTTAAAATTGTGTGCCACCACACTAGCACAGGTTACTTTCATTGTTGTGTGTTTGCCTGTGTGGGACTACATGCATTCAGGTGCAGGTGCCCAGAGAGGCCAGAGTGTTGCATCCCCTGGATCTGGAGCTGTGGGTGCTGCTGGCTCTCTGACCACAAAGCCATCTTTCCAGCCCCATGATAGACTTGTATTCCCCTTCTCCGGCACTGAGCCAGATGACACCTCCTCAGAGAAGCCCTCCTGGCTTCCTTACCGCTCCTATCACTCTATTTCCAAGAAAATATTTTGAGTGTTTGTTTGTTTGTTTTTCAAGACAGGGTTTCTCTGCGTAGTTTTTTCAGTGCCTGTCCTGAATTTAGTGCTCTGTAGACCAGGCTGGCCTCTAACTCACAGAGATCCGCCTGGCTTTGCCTCCTGAGTGCTGGGATTAAAGGCATGCACCACTGCTGCCCACCTCAAGAAAATGTGTGGTGATCCACAGAGGCTTCCTAGTGAGACTTTACTCAGGGTCAGAGAATCTGAGCTTGCTTTGCCCAGCAGGGCTGCATGATGTGATGATTTGGCCACAAGTGTGTTTACCAGGTGTTTGGAAGGGTCTACACTTGGCTGTACAGTGTGCTTTGATCTTGCAGGGGTAAGGTCTTTTGCCTCTCCCCTTGGCATATTATAAAAAGCTCTTTTGAGTAAAGGTCTGGGTGACTGGGTTATCGACCCAGGCTCTCCCAAAAGCTATCCTGTGTCTGTCTTTCTCCTCTTCATCTAGGTCTGTCTTTCTACCTAATATTTCCTCATTCCTCTCTCCTCCACCCAAGAACCCTTCCATAGGTGGGAGCAGGTAGGAGCTGGACTTCTACAGACTCCCACAGAAATGTTTTAAATTTCTTTGAACTTTTGAAACAAGGTGTCATGTAGTCCAGGCTGACCTCAAACTCACTACATAGCCAAGGATAACCTTGAATTCTGATCTTCCTGATCTACCTACAAATGTGTGCTGCTATGCTAGGTTTATGCAGTGGGGGGAAATCAAGCCAGGCCTAGTACACTTGGGCAAGCCCTCTATGAACTGAGTGTCATCTCCAGCCACAACATCAAGTGTTATTTTTGTTTGTTTTGATATTGTTTCAAGACAGGGTTTCTCTGTGTATCCTTGGATGTCCTGAACTTGATCAGTAGACCAGGCTGACCTCAAATTCAGAGATTCACCTGCCTCTGCCTCCCAAGTGCTGGGACTGAAGGTGTGGGCTGCTCTGCCTGCTTCTGTCTCCCTTCTTTTTCTTCTTTCATTTTGTTTTAGTTTAATTTTTAATTTTATTATTAGTGTGTGTGTGTGTGTGTGTACCCTCAGAGGCCAGAAGAAGGTATCTTCTGGTTGACTTTTGTAAACTTGATACAAACTGGAATTATTTGGAAAGAGAAAACTTCAGTTGAGAAAATGTCTCTATCAGATTGGCCTATGGGCAGATCTATGAGGCATTTTTTTTCATTAATTATTGATGGGAGGGCCCATCTGGCTATGGGCAGTACCACCCCTAGGCAGGTGGTCCTGGGTACTACAAGAAAGCAGGCTGAGCAAACCATGGAGAGCAAGCCAGTAAGCATCCTCCTCCATGGCCTCTGCATCAGCTCCTGTAGGGTTCCTGCCCCGACTTCCTTCAGTGATGGACTGTGACCTGTAAGCCAAATAAACCCCTTCCTTTCCAAGTTGCTTTGGTCATGGTGTTTTATTACAGCAATAGAAACCCTAAGACAGAATTAGTACCAGGAGTGGGGTATTTCTATGACAGACCTGACCATGTTTTGGGGAGGACTGTGGAAGGACTTTGGAACTTTGGGTCAGAAAAACCATTGAGTGTTCTGAGCTGTGCTGGAGTTTTATGTCAGTCTGACACAAGCTGGAGTCATCTGAGAGGAGGAAACCTCAATGAGAAAACACCTCAACAGATCGGGCTGTAGGCAAGCCTATGGGGCATTTTCTTAATTAATGATTGATGGGGGAGGGCCCAGCCTAATGCAGGTGGTGCCATCCCTGGGCTGGTGGTCCTGGGTTTTGTAAGAAAGCAGGCTGAGCAAGCCAAGGAAAGCAAGCCAGAAAGCAGTCTCTCTTCTTCCAAGTGGGTCTCAGGGACCAAACTCAGGTTGTGTCAGGCTTGATGGCAATCCACTGCCTGCTGAGGCTTCTCACCAGCCTTCCTCCTTTTTATTTTTTAAAACTAGGTTCTTGCAGTGTAGTCCCAGCTGGCCTCTCAGACTGTGATCCCCCTGCCTCAGCCTCCTCAATGCTGTGGATTATAGGTGTGAGCCACCCTGAGCAGTTACTAGTCTGTCTTTTTCAGCTGATAACCTCAGGTGTTTTGTTACAGTATGAGGAAGCTGACTTTGTTAGCCCAAAGTGATGTCATCAAATGAACTGAGCACCCCATGAATTTGCCCCTCTCCCCCATGGTTCCCACAGTCAGGAGCTCCTGGGGTCTCTAAGATGACACGCAGTAAAATGTTTGAGTTACCTCCTGGTAGATGACATCCGAGGACACATTGTGCCTGTCACGGTTCACAGCACCTATGGATTTACAACAGCCCCTGGGGTAGGTGCGGCCGGTTGTCACTTGAAAGGAAGAGCCGAAAAAATCTGTATTCACCCCACAGTGTTGCTAGAGTTTTCCTGCCTTGCCCACAGTCAGGACAAATCTTTGTCACCCGCCAGTCCCACAGCCGCTCAGACCCAACCAAGCAAACACAGAGACTTATATTGCTTACAAACTGTATGGCCGTGGCAGGCCTCCTGTTAACTGTGCTTATAGCTTAAATTAGTCCATTTCCATAAATCTAT